GGCGAGCAGGCATTGTGCGGTGGATAAAACCGCCCCACAATGTCAAGCCACCACGATTGAATACGTACCGTCTCACCCCAATGGGTAAGCACGGGGCGCATCGGGACGACTTAGGCCGTGTAACCTCGAGCGCCCCTGGCTCTACACATGGGGAATACAGACTGGCCAAGCTGCCGTAGGTAGGCACGGAGCGCATCGGGACGGATTAGGCCGTGTAACCTCGAGCGCCCCTGGCTCTGCCTGCGGGACAGGTTGGTGGTTTGTGAGAACATATTGACGACCAGCTTCCGTAGCTTCCGTAGGTGACTTCCGTGACCGTTTCGGACCGCCAATATTAAGTGCCGCCCTGGGCCAAGAATACAACGAGGAACCACCACCGACTATCATTAACGAGGGCCGCTAGCAACATCATCGCCATCCAGGGCCGTTGTCATCGTCGTCCTTCATTAGGGCCGGACTGCCGAATTCCTCACCATTGGGCCGCCAATATCATTGTCGCCCCAGGCCGAACGCAACACCAAGAGCCGCCACCTTTCAGGGCCGCTAGCAACATCATCGCCATCCAGGGCCGTTGTCACCGTCGTCCTTCATTAGGGCCGGACTGCCGCCTTCCTCACCATTGGGCCGCCAAATTTATTGCCGCCCCTAGGCCAAACCGCTACCGAGGACCGCTACTTGCCGTCTGCCGCTAACATCATCGCCATCCAGGGCCGCTGTCACCGCCGTTACTCATCAGAGGCCCGTTGTTATAACTAGGGCCGCCAATACTGCTCTCACTACGGGAGGCCCTCAGCACTATTTGGGCCACCGTCAACATCACCGCGGGGCCGTCACTACTAAAGGGACTGCTACTGCCGTCACGATCAGCATCGTCGCTCTCATTGGCTGCAGTACCCGTGCTGTGGGCATTTACCATCATCACGCTCGCTACCGCTCTCACTGTCATTAATCACCGAACCATCCCCGCGCTCACCGTCACCGCTCTCAACATCACCGCCACCGTCACTAGCCACTAGACAGTCTCCGCTCTCTGAGCCACGACGCCGACCGCCGACCAGTTAGTCACTCTCTCTCTCCCCTCTCTTCGTGGACGTCAGGGTACCGGCAGCCTGGCCGAACGGCTGCGTGTGTGTGTGGTTGTGTTCGCTATATTTAACTACTGTGTTTATTTTATTCAGTGGGGGTTAGTGGGACCTCCACTCAACCCTGGAGCGGCTGAGCTACCTCAGCCTTCGATAAAACCCACCTCATAAATGGCGCCCGAGCAGGGACGCAGCTCTGCAGGCGCATGTGCAAAAGCACCAACAAGCACCAACCCTGTCGAAGCGGGTTCATCGAACACACCACAACCAACCAATAACACACGGACGAGCGAAAACGATACCGCAACGCTGAACGCCGACTCTCTGGGCTGGATATACCTACTGAAAAAAGAGAGACTAGTGGAGGAATGCAGACAACACCAGTTACCAGTTGAAGGGAACACAGTCGCAGAGCTACGGAGTGCTCTAAGCCACTTCATCAAAACCAAGCGAAGTAGAAGATCAACCGAAAATCTCCTAAAAGAACTAGAAATGGAGATCACCGCTGAAGAAGCCAGTATAGCGAAGTCCTTACCCGCGTACCAAACGGCTGAAAATTTTTAAAATCTGACAATAACCACGCCCACATCCCATATAACGGTAATTTAGAGAAATACAAAATCTTCGATAAATCAGTAACTATTAAAGTTAATTTATTCTAAATTGATGCTTGCAACAATTCTTTATCAAGAAATACGCTTATGATAAAATTTTTGAAAATAGGCGTGGCACCGCCCACTTATGATCACATATATGTATCACGGTAACCGTTATACCAATTTGTACCAAACTCGGTGTGGTTATTGTGCTTGCCACATAAAAGCAAAAGTTTGAAAATTATTGAAATCGGACTAAAATTACGGCCGCTTTTCATAAAACGGTAAATTTCAGAAATGAGTGAAACTTCAAAATCTCGAAATTTAAGGATGCTAATTTACTCAAAATTGATACATGTAGCGGTAGCTTTCGGAAAGGTGAAAAAACATATATATATTTAATACTTGCGCCGAGTATTCAATGTTCGGCTCCGCCCGAACTTAGTCTTTCTTACTTGTTTATTCTTTATTTGTTAACTAACTTTATAAAAATTTGGTTTGGTTTATCAATATATAGATTAATTACGTTTAAAAATAAAATAAACAGAAAGACCAATAATATTCCTTCAGTGCCAATAATGGACCAACTTCAAAATAAAGCTGTTGCGGACTTATAGGCTCTTTATGATTTCGTTTTTGTAATGTGCACTTAGCACATTTTCTATCAACCTGTTTTTCATTGTTAAAAGATTTAGTTGTTTATTGTAAATATATTTTATTGTTTTAAAATTCATAATAACCTGATACAGTCTTATTTAATTGCTGTTAACAAAAACAACTATATTAAGCCGTAAATTTATTCACCATTAATAAAGGAAAATAGTCATAAACAAGTAGGTAAGTAAGTATAAGTTTGGGCGAAACTGAACTTTATACACCCGGCGCAGGTATCAAATATTGTCGCCTCAACTTTCTCTAAACTACCTTTACATGATAAGCAGGGGCGTTTTTACCGATTTCAAATGTTTTCGATAATATGCTGAGTTAGACTCAATGATATAATTGAAATAAGTTTGGTAGAAATCGATAAAGTGGTTACCGAGATACATCTTTGCAATCATAATGCGGGAGGTGTCACGTCCAATTCCTAAAAGTCTATATTAGAATTATTTATTGTTGAGCAAGAGTTACCGTATTTCTGAAATGTACCTTTAGATATATAGAAAGCGGGTGTAATTTTGGTCCGATTTGAATAATTTTCAACGAATTGCTTTTCGGTACCAAGGTTATTAAGTGCACTGAGTTTAGTAGAAATTGAGTTACACATATGTGGTCATAAGTGGGCGGCGCCACGCCCATTATCCAAAAATTTAGAATAATCTAATTTTCTGCTAAGCGGCTCTCGCAATCATCGATTTTAAGTGAATTAGCTTTAGTAGTTATTGATTTATCGCAGTTTTCCTGTTTCTGTAAATTACCGTTCTATGGTAGATGCGCGTAGTCATTGACCGATTTTAAAGATTTTCAACAGATTTCTTACATCGACTTTACAAGTATCAAGAACTTGCTTTCAAGTTTCAATACACTCACACTTTTCAGAATTTCTATGTTAGCTAGACCCTCAGCAAGGATCGTACCGAGTTTGGTAAGGATTGATGAATAGGCTACTGAGATACAGCATTTTATCATAAGAGGGCGGCGTCACGCGCATTTTCCAAAAGTTTCATAATAATATGTTTTAACGAAATTCTACTTCACATACTAATTTTCATAAATTTGCAACTAACATTTACTGAAGTATCGTAGCGTAGGTCTGCCTTTATATGGGACTAGCCGGGTACGCGCTGAAAGTATGCATATGAATGTACATTTACGTATTTGGAGAAAGAGAGAGATATGTCATCATGTACATCGTTTATTATATAAATAAAAAATCTTGTCTAAATCCATTCAGTAGCAGGTTAAAATATCTCGCCTTTCTTTAAACTATGTATAAAAGATAGCAATTTTTAATAGGTGGCAACCCTACTCAAAAAACTTAAAGTTTCTGTACATGCGAAGGCCACGCACTTTCATTTGGTATCTAATTTTTTTATCCAACGAACGGTGAAGATCTTATAGTTTTTAAACCGGTGGCAACCCGACTCAGAAAAATAATACATTAATACACATCAAGAGGCTACGCCTTTTCATTTGACAGTGACGGTGCAGAACTGACGCCTACGCTTATTAGAATTGAATATAGTAATTTTCGTAACAGGTGGCAACCCTATTAAAATTATAAATTAAAAAGGTCACTCTCCTATCGATACAGAATATACTAGAGAAAATCTCGTCAAAATCCGTTCAGTAGTTTTCGAGATTACCGCGTACAATGTTATGTTATCAAATCCTGCCAGACCAACTCCTCCCAACCCTGCCCGAGATTTTACGCGGTAAAGCACTTCATTGGTTCCGCGTCCAGAGGCAACAAATAACCACCTGGGCTAGATTTCGTGCCGGGGCGGAAAAATTTTTTCTGCCCAAACGACACATAACGCAGCTAGAAGACACAATTCGCCAGCGGAAACAGATGCACAGGGAAAAGGCCAAGGACTACATCCTCGCCCTCCAGACACTCATCCGACAACATCCGGTCATGTGCCACGAAAACCACTTAGAACGTATTTATGATGGTCTGCGAGTCGAATACCGACTCTTCGCAAAAAGAAGCGAATTCCAAACCATCGAGGAGCTCATGGAGCTCACCGATGAGTATGAACTGCTCAAAAACGAAGAAGCCAGACAAAGTAGACAAGCGGCACACAGCCTTTCCACCATAAGTAACCGGTACGACGCAAGGAACACCTGCTGGCGCTGCAAAAGGCGTGGGCACCAGCGTTACCATTGTCACTACCCACGGCGACTGTTCTGTTCCCGTTGCGGTCAAGATGGAACTCTCTCCAGAAACTGCCCATGCCACAAATCAATCAATACCGCGCCACCCATCGCCGAAGCCACTACAGTGCAATCCGAATGGAGAAGTATCGACGGTCGCTTCTACGCCGACGTCACCATCGAAGGCCTACACGTACGAGCACTGGTGGACACCGGAGCCACTCTAACATACGTAGACGACAGCACGCGCGTGCATTTAGAGCGACTCAACATCCAACCTCAGCCTAATAAGCGGAACGTCCAACTCGCGGATCAGACATGCGTTGCCAGTACACACACCTACCCCGTCAGAATCAAGTATAACGAGCGATTCACACGCACGGCGGTAGCAGTGATCCCGAAACTAGCAGAACGAATGATATTAGGAATGGACTTCCTGTCAAAGCGAGGCATTGTTTTGACCTTAGACGGCGAGCCACTAAATCCCGACACGTCACCGAGGCCCACACCCACATTGTGTTGCCTAACAGAACGGGCTCACTTAAATGAAGAACAAAATCAGGAATTAACACACTTCTTGGACCACAACAAAACGCTGTTCTCCAAAGTCACCGGACCAAGTACAGCCGCCGAACACATCATTACACTGCGACAGAACCAACCGCTGAAGCAGCGCTACTACCCGCGCAATCCCGCCATGCAGCAGGTAATAAATACCGAAGTGGACGAATTACTCACCGCTAACCTGATACAACCCTCCAGGAGCGCATACAGCTCACCAATTGTACTAGTCAGAAAGAAACAAGGAACCTGGCGGATGTGCATTGATTATCGTCAACTCAATGCCGCTAGTGAACCCGACGCGTACCCACTGCCTCAAATCGGAGCCATTTTGGACCAGCTAAAAGAAGAAAAGTACATCTCAACCATCGACTTAAAGAACGGCTACTGGCAGATACCGTTAGCCAAGAAGTCTCGGCCATATACCGCCTTCACCGTTCCCGGCCGAGGACTTTTTCAATGGAAGGTAATGCCCTTCGGACTACACTCCGCCCCAGCCACCTTCCAGCGCGCCCTCGACTCTATACTCGGCCCGGAATTGCAACCAAAAGTGTTCGCCTACTTAGACGATATCATCGTGCTAGGCGAAACGTTCACCGAACATATGACCTACTTACGCGAAGTCTTTCATAGACTTCAGAACCACAAAATGCAAATCAACTTCGAGAAATGCAATTTTGTACAACAAAAACTGCATTACTTGGGACACATCGTTAGCTCTGAAGGGATACACACCGACCCTGGGAAAGTAGCCGCGGTACGGGAAATGACTGCGCCCCGAACCATCAAGGAGCTTCGCCGCTTCCTTGGACTTGCCTCCTGGTACCGCCGCTTAATCGCTAACTTCTCCACACTCGCGGCACCCCTCAACCAGTTACTCAAAAAGAACCAAACTTGGACATGGGGCGAATTACAGAACAACGCATTCGAGGCGCTCAAGGAAAAACTGACTTACGCACCAATACTCTGCTGCCCAGACTTCAACCAACCATTTTTTCTACAAACCGACGCTAGCGGAGAAGGACTCGGCGTGGTCTTATTTCAGCGCCATTCGGATCAAGAGAAAGTCGTGGCCTATGCCAGTAGAAGTCTGTCCAACTTAGAAAAGCGTTACTCAGCTACGGAACAAGAATGTCTGGCTGTCCTGTGGGGAATTCGAAAAATGAGACCATACTTAGAGGGCTATCAGTTCACTGTTATCACCGACCACCACTCCCTCAAGTGGCTCCACTCGCTCCAAAACCCCTCCGGGCGTCTGGCCAGATGGGCACTTGAGCTACAACAATACAACTTCGAGATCGAATACCGAAAGGGATCTTTAAACGTGGTGGCTGACGCACTATCACGGTGCCCGCTGCCAGCCTGCAGCACAGAAGAAGACCTACTGTTCGCTTTGAATAGCCAACGTACGAGTTGGTACGACAGGAAGACACACCAAGTTCAGACGCAACCCGAACAAAACCCCGACTACCAGTGGATCAACAGCCGACTATTCCGACATATAGCACCAACAAATCTACTCTCCCGTGCCCCGCAATGGAAGCTCTGCATCCCCGCTAACCAAAGGAAAAAGATCCTTAAAGAAGTCCACGACGCCGCCGCGGCAGGACACCTCGGGATCAGGAAAACCCTCAAACGTGCACAAGAAAATTACTACTGGCCAGGGATGCATCGAGATGTAAGCAACCATGTGCGTGGGTGCCTGACGTGCGCAGCATACAAGGTGGAGCAACGACGCCCGGCAGGATTGATGGCTACGATGCAGTGCTCACGACCCTGGGAAATCGTCACCGCCGATTTCATCGGACCCCTCCCGCGCTCCAAACAGGGCAACACATGCCTCCTAGTCTTGGTGGATAAATTTTCCAAGTGGATCGAGTTGGTACCCGTCCGAAATGCCACCGCCTCAGCCGTAATCAAAGCTCTACGAGAAAGGGTGATTTACCGATTTGGATGTCCGACCGTTTTTCTTAGCGACAACGGTAAACAGTTTACCTCGACCACCTTGGCTACGTTTCTCCAGAACCACCATATCGAACATCGATTCACGGCAGCATACGCCCCTCATGAAAATCCCACCGAAAGGGTCAACCGCGTCGTCAAGACAATGATCGGACAAAGATCACAACAAGACCACCGAACTTGGGACCAAGAAATACCGGAAATAGCCTTCGCCATAAACACAGCGCAACACGAATCCACGCAAGCTTCGGCCGCCGAAATAAACTTTGGCCGCAGCCTCGCGGCACCGTAGCAGATACGGGCAGAAGGGCCAACACCCATAGAACCTCCCACCGCACGCCCTGACATTACAGAACTGTGGAAAGAAGTCGCCAAACACCACGCCACGGCCGCCAAACAGCAAAAGAAATACTACGACTCACGTAGGCGCCCCTGGAAACCGAACATTGGAGACAAAGTAATGAAGAGGGATCACCCCCTCTTTTCAGCAATCGGGCACTTCGCACAAAAACTCGCACCCAAGTTTTCCGGACCCTACATCATCCTCTGCTACGTTTCCACGAATTCGGTCAAACTCGCCCATGCCGAACGACCCAACGGACCACAGACGCACGCCCACCTCCAAGATTTGAAACCATTTTCCGAACACTAACCGGCTATTCACAGACTGAGAAGGAAGCTAATTACGCAACACAACCCGCCAAGACTGTCAAAGCACCCCATGGAATTGGAGACTAATTTTTTTATCACATATATATATACGCATGAAATGTACAACTTTTTTTTTGCCTTTCTCTACCTTTAAGTGAAATGTACTTTCATACCTGAAATAAGAAAACTTTGTATAGCAATAAGTAACAAAAAAAAAAACAAAACAAAAATCAGGAAAAAAAAGATATTCTAACGTGTCTTGAGCTTAACATTTTGATTTATGTAAATCATGGTTTATTTTATGTAAATTTTTTTTTTCTAAATATATATTTGTACAATAAAACTGCACTAAAAACACACACACCGGCCGAACCCCCAGAATGCGGCACCCTTTCCCTTTTGTTCTCCGAAGTGGGGGGGGGGGGGG